CGATTCCCTTTTTCTTTTTTTTCATTTTTTTTTTTTTTGGGGGGGGGGGGGGGGGGGGGGGCGGCTTGTTTTTCTTAACTAAAAAATGATAGGTGGATTGGTTGAATTAGGGCCTTTGTTGACTACTTTTAGATGTAAGGTTTAATATGTCCTATTCTAAAGAACGTAAACTTAGGCCAAATCAATTTTTACTTAAATATTTGTTACAAAACTTGGTAAGGGTATAAAGATTTCTGTACAAAATATTATGTGTTAGCTCTTCTGATCCAGAGCCGAAATATCATCTACTGAGATCCAGTAGGGTTTTAACTCTAGGAACAAAATATGTCTTAATGCCCTTTTGACTCTTGACAGATGATATCCTGTCTCTCACCATGTGATGGTTTTCATCACATGCCTGGTAGAAGGACCTTCAGGGATATGAAAGGAGTGAACTTGTCAGTCTCAGTTAGTAGTTGAAATGAACAATGTCTTGCATCTCACCTTCAAACGCTAGACGTTAATTACACGTTGGTAGTAGTTGATGTCATAGTATCTGCTTTAAGTTAGGACTTTAACTCAAATACTCTATCACAAATATGACTGAATCAGATATGAAATGTGTCCCAAAGGAGCAAACTTCAAAATGTATGCAACCCCATTTGTTTCCTTAATGATGAACTAGGCATTTTTATTCAGAACATAGAGTAGAACTTATACCAGAAGATCTTTGATGGTTGTGATGCGCATTGCACCAAAAGGGTTATACAGCCACATTAATGCTTTCAATCTATTATCTACAGTTTGGTATCTCTGGTACTAAGAAATGGTGTTGATACAACGCAGATCGTAAGGAGAACATTAAGAGCAATGGTTAAAGTGATTCTTTCCTTTTAATGACCACTTATGATAGACACTTGACATTATCACAGTCTTTGCATTTGTCATTGCATTTTCTGCTAAAAGTTTCAGTATTGTTTCCTTTTAGAAATCCACTCTAGGGTCATTGAAATAGTTTAGTGTTGCCAACAGTATCCCCCCCCCCAATTTGATGTTTGACTGTTTGAAGCGAGATTGGCATTTACTCATATACTTTAAACAGAGTTAATGCTCATACGACTCCTAACATAGAATATAAAGGTGATTGTAAGGATCAAGCATAGCAACACTGTAAAAACCATCAACCTTTTGTGCATGAAATATTTACAAATTTCATGATTGTTTCACATTCCCAATGAAATGATTGACTCACAATTGACTTTGTGAAAGTTTCCTGTTTTTCAGTAAATGAAACCTATATGTTATCAACACTGCCATAGACTTAATTTGGCCGCCATTTCAATCAGGTTTCATATCTGTATGTAGATAATGCCTGGACTATCCTGTCAGACTTTTACATGTCTGTTCCATAAATCTTGATAGCTGAGTATTTCTAAATCTATACGGCATTAAAACATGACTGTTTACAGTTTGGTGTATCTAAGTGGAAGTTTTAGGTGGCTCCTTACATTACCTCCTGTTTCATAATAATCACAAAGATGTGACCATAAATCATGCAGAAAGGGAAGAGGGAATGGGTTCATGAAACATGACAATTATAGGGATGAAGAAATCTCAAATTATTTCATTTGTAAATTCTCTACATTAATTTGAGAGTACAATGTTTTGGTTATGCCTTACTATCAGTTTAACATTGAACATGATTTTCCACTCATTTTATGCTCTTTATATCACTTTTCTGCCTCTTTGACCCCAAAATTAATTAACCATAATTGATATGATTATTTTTGTTGCTTTCATATCATTTCTTCTATTTCCCCCTTTCTTTATGTGAGGCACTGCTGCTTTCCCTGGCTTGTCTTGTACTTTAAAGATGATTTCGTTACTTCACTATTATCATCATCATAAATTGAAAATACAGATTATCTGTATTTATGTATGTTTGTATATGATTGTAAACCACTGACTAGTGAAGACAAAGCTACCCTATAGTAATTACCTTTAAGAAATCAATTTTCTTTTGGCTATCCTTGGCAATAGTCGGTGGTACTTGGTACTTGGTAGGATTCCTCCAAAAGACGCCATAAAGGTGTCTATATATTATTTAATTTGAATCTATACTTTTTTGTTTGTGTTTAGCTTTTCCTAGAAATTGATAAAATCCACAAAAGAAGTAAAAAGAAATAAAAGAAACAAAAAGAAAGTAATAATGATCTGATAACAGTTTTTGTTGTTTGATTATCCAATCTTGAGTGTTATAACCTTCAATAATACTTATCATTTCATTTGTTTTGTGGCTTAGATAGTCATGTAATAACCATCCTATATATTACATTGTATATCTAGTACATATTAGACATAATATATGTTACCAAATACTGACATGCAGTGTAAGTCATCATGCATTCCAGTAAACACACAATCACAATTACTTCTCAATAATCAACTCAATCAACTTACGGTTCTTTCAATAGCATTAAGAAATACACAAACACAATAGGGTATTGAAACTACCCTGGAGTGGATTATTCAAAGTATTTTAGATCGTGTTAAATGTGCATCTTTATCAATTTATTTTCCATCATACAGATATCATCGTCACTTCAAGACTAAACTTTAATGCAATTTCAGAACTTATGCAAGGGTCTTAAGCTTGAATTGAGATGCTTGTCTCTAGTTAGCCTTAACCTAACAACGGATTAATTCAATTGATATCACTTAGCAGTTCATTCTGGCAGAAAAGCACCATCATTGCCATAATGAATTACCAGTGAAGTGGGCCTTACGCTTCACACATTGGTAGTAATGAAGTTATGTTCACTTCAATGGTAGTGGATCGATCACCAAGCTCAAGAGCATGGTATATGTGATGGAGATGTGTTGTATAAGTAATGCAGTGGTAATGGTTTATTGAAAAATTCATTTATGACCAACTAGCAAAATTGTAGAATTAGTACAAAGTAAATTACATAATGTTTACATATACAATCTGAACTTGAAGATTGGGTTCATGCCGGCAGAAAAGAATGATACATCAAGTTAGAGGCGTGATGATAACATTGAATGAATTGATAAGTATTGGTTTAGAAGAATAAACATATGAAAGATGAATTGCATAATCTATGGAAAATATAAGGAATGATTGCAGTGAGGAAGGAATTACATTGTACTTCAGACATACTGTCTAAGAACAATTTCAGAAGAGAGAAAATAGCTAGAGGATCTCTTGGAGGTGAATTATAATGAGAAAAGGAGGCAGATAGAGGGGTAGAAAGAGTGCATGGGAAAGAGAGATGGAGAGAGGGAAGAAGCTACATGGTTGGATGAAAGATTAGATGACAGTAATTGAATAAAATGTCTATTCTATGGTAATACTTTTGAAAATGTATAGCTTCATAACAATGCTATGTTTAAAATACATAACTCAGTTGTGGTTCTAGAGTAACCCTTCAGAGCTACTAGACTATAGTACCAAAAAAATCATGTAGATTTGCTTAAATTAATCCAGGTTCAAGAGTAAAAGACCCTTTGCCTGTGACAGTGCTACACACTAACTTTTTGGACAGGGGTCTGGATTGCCCTTTTGACAGTCTGCATGTATGTGCCCTATGTATAACAACGCCAATGTGTTGGGGTCTGGACTTAGATTAGTGGCAACCTGGGGTGTGTTTCACAAAGACTATAAGATCTACTTTAAGTTGGACTTAACTATGGTAGGACTTTCATGCCACTGTTTGCTCTCATCATTTACTGGCACTGGTCTCTCAAGGGACGTACAAATCATGGTCACAAATCTACAGAATTTACATTTGTTGATAATTTATTTTCAGAGGAAAAAATATTATCTAAAGATCATAATAGTGAGAGCAACCAGTGGCATGAATGGACTGCCATATATAGTTAAGTCCTACTTAAAGTCGATCTTAGTCTTTGTGAAACACTCCCCTGGTACATGTTGGTGTTGAGCCCCTGCTAATGGCAACCGTTGTTGTTCTTGCATTCAGCCTATATGGGAATAAGATAATTCAGTAGTCTATGGAACAATTCTTAATACATTGCTATCAGTACCTTCCATGTGACAAACATTCACAATGTTGTATGTTACACGATGCTATCAGTACCTTCCATGTGACAAACATTCACAATGTTGTATGTTACACGTTGCTATCAGTACCTTCCATGTGACAAACATTCACAATGTTGTATGTTACACGATGCTATCAGTACCTTCCATGTGACAAACATTCACAATGTTGTATGTTACACGATGCTATCAGTACCTTCCATGTGACAAACATTCACAATGTTGTATGTTACACGATGCTATCAGTACCTTCCATGTGACAAACATTCACAATGTTGTATGTTACACGATGCTATCAGTACCTTCCATGTGACAAACATTCACAATGTTGTATGTTACACGATGCTATCAGTACCTTCCATGTGACAAACATTCACAATGTTGTATGTTACACGATGCTATCAGTACCTTCCATGTGACAAACATTCACAATGTTGTATGTTACACGATGCTATCAGTACCTTCCATGTGACAAACATTCACAATGTTGTATGTTACACGATGCTATCAGTACCTTCCATGTGACAAACATTCACAATGTTGTATGTTACACGATAGCAACTACATTTGAAAAACCAACCTAAGGCACACTAGCCCTGTGTGAAATGCACCCACATCACATAGACGTATTATATAAGCCGAACATGATTTCTATGCTACATACAATTGGGTATTGCTCTTAATTATTTTTTAAATAGTTGCTCTCTTGTTGTGTATGCACCCTTTACTTTTTAAGCAAGGAATACAAAGATGTTTTCTAGACCAAAGTTGTCTACCACTAGCTATCTTCTGGGACGAGATATCTACCAACAGCAGGAAAGGTTTAAGAATGTAAGTTAGTAAAGGTCATGCAGTTGCATTGAAACAGAAACTGTCTAGAAACAATTTTAGAAAGGAAACTAAATTTAAGTTGCTATGTTAATTTAGAAACTTATTAATGTTGGACCTCGGTCTCACCAGCAAGACCTACAACAGAGTAAGCATCAAATACATTGCTGCCAGTGGAAAAAGTGGTTTGGATTTGATCTTGAGTCGGTTTGGTAGAGTGACTGAGATATGATGGTGGTAGCACCCGTCAATATACTTGCTAAGCAAATAGGTGCTACATTTAATGTACATGGGAAATATTTGCTTATTATATATATATATATATATACCTACTCATATGCAATTAGGAGCTGTTCATATTTTGGTACCCCTTCTCTCTCTCTCTCATCTGTACCCCCCTCTCTCGTGCTCTCTCTCTCTCTCTCTCTCTCTCTCTCTCTATCTCAATTTCCCTGTCTCTATTTCTCTCTCTTTATCAATATACTTATCTATCTCTTTATCTCTCTTCAAATCTTCTCTCTTCTTTCACTGTCTTTATGTTTTCTATATTTCTCTCACCCTCTATCTAACTTATTTCCTATTTGTGCAAAAAAGAAATGATGGGTGGATCGTAAAGTGTGCTGATTACTTTCTCTGCATGGCTAGTTAAGCGAGGCATTGGCTTGATTATCTTTCCGTGTCGTGTGTATATATGCTCGGCCGGCAAAGCGGGGAACTGTCATCTTGCGCTCTCATTTGAAGAGCAAGGGGAGAAATGGTGGAATTGGAGGCTGTGAAAGGTTATGCTTGAAATGGGGGAAAGGCTCATTAAAGATAAAGTTGAGTACTGGTCAATTACAGACACTGCATGGAAGCAATTCAGAAGGGTTGATAATTGAGTACATAAGACCATTATGCATACTGTGATGTCTTGGAATGAAAATTGAAAGAATTTCACTCTGTCTTGCTTTACATCACATGCACTGTACAGAGTACTTCATAATTTAGGATTTCCGTTAAAAAAAACACCAAAATTCAGCTAGTTCTTGCAATAGTAATGAAATGTGAAGGCATTTTAAGGGCAGTTAGTTTCAGCGGACATATCTTTTGTGGTTCCTTTCAAACTAGCATACAAAGAGGGAGAAAGTTGACAAGTTTTTGTCCTCCTCACGAGAACTCACCTGTCTCATGGAAAAGAAAGGAAGAAGGCAGACGAGAAAAGAGGGTTCAATAATCAGGATTCGTGGGGAAAGCCTTAATTGAAAGAAGAGCTCATCAATTACTGGACTGTGTAATTAGGGCTGGAAGAAGGGTGTAGGAACTCATGCCTTTTCTTGTTTTCTCCATAATAAATGGAAGTCTCCTAGCTCCCTTCACACTTTCATGTTTTTGGGGGAGAGGCTTGTTCACATTGACCATGGTAATCCATTGCGGTTGTGTGTTTGTGTGTTTGTGTTTGTACTGAATAGGAAGTGGGAATGACAACAGTAGTTGTGCACAAGAGTGGTCCTACATGTACTCACAGTGGTTTAATGGGGCCTATGTTAACATGCCTGTAATAGGCACCTAACATGTGAGAGGAGAAATAAGTGAGGCAATAGAGAGAAGGATTATGAGGGTTTGGCCGGGCACTATCATCTTCTTTTCCCACTTTGTTCCCCTTTCCCTATATTCTTTCGTAATTTTGTTCATTTTTATAAGTCATTCTTTTTTCTTTCTTTTTGAAGGGGGAATGCCCTGTGCCCCACCTAACTATTACTTACCCACTGATGCTTTAGCTCAACTATGGAATAATCAATAGGAAAAAGATGGCTTGTGATTAGTTATTTAAATATATGAATTGTGGCTTTCATAACCTTCTTTTCATGTTTTTTTTTTTACCCCCTCTCTTCTCTTTCTCTCCTTTGTCTTTTACTCACCAACCTTTTTTTGTTGTGGGGGGGGGGGGGGGGTGTCTTTTGCTCTGACCAATAGCTACCCCACTGTTGCTGTAGCTCAACTATGGAAGAATCAACTGGAAAAAGTTATGTTGTGATCAGTTGTTTGGAGAAGATAATCTGTGTCGGTTGTAGTTGTTATCATCTTCTTTTCTTGTTGCCTTCCCCTCTTCCTTTCTTTCTCTCCTTCACATTTGTTTACTATTCATGTTTTCCAAGGGAGGAGGGGGGGGGGGGTATCTCCTGCTCCCACAAATAGTTATGCTATTGATGCTGTAGCTCAACAATGCAAGTGTCCCCCCCCCCCCCCCCCCCAAAAAAGGGTCTTTCTTTCTCTACTTTTCTCCTTCATCTTTTACCATGATTCATGCTCTAGCTCTACTGTCAAAGTATTGCCAGGGATAACGGTGGTACTGTCGATGTGACTGATAGTGGTGTGATTAGCAAATAGGTTAATGATCAACTTTGGAATGTCTTTCATAATTTATGTGTCTCCGTAACCTGTGATCGTGATTTCTAGCTCGATATGTCTTGTCCAATTTGTTTAATTTATGTATTTGTCTATTGGTCTATAAGAACTGACCAGCAGCACAGGCTGAATGGGGCACTTTACAACTAGAATAATACAACATAAAGAAAGTGAGATAGAGAGAGAGACAGAGACAGAGACAGAGAGACAGAGAAAGAGAGAGAGAGAGAGAGAGAGAGAGAGAGAGAAGGGGGGGGGGGGAGAAGGTGGAGAAAATGCATTAAAAAAATTCCATTTATATTTACATTTACAAGCGTAAGGACTGGAACCAAAGAGAGTTAGCGGGAGAGTCCAAATTAATTCTGTTCTGTGTTTTTTCATCAATTAATCCCCTTCTTGCTCCTAACAGATAAATCATGTTTGTATTTACTCTCTTCTGTCACCACATTTCTTTTTGTAACCCAGCTTCCAAGAGACATTTTCAGTTGTACAATTTTGATAAATGTTGAAGAGGAAGATATACACACTATAATATGAATAAACATTGCAATGCATAAGCCAGTCATTATAGTAGAAGAAAGGTAGAATTTCTTAGTCAATGAAGCTCACACTTTTAAACAGTACAGATATTTGGTGGATTGTTTTTATTTAGAGAGGTTAGATTCTATTTTTTTCAATATTTTTGGGGGGTATCGTCGTATAAAAAATTAACAGCAACGCAGGCTGAAAGTGTCCATTGACAAAGAAGTAATACAATATACCTGTACAATGGCATGTTATCAATAATATTATAAACATATAATGTACAATAAAGTATAATGCAATATAGTATAAACAAGACACATCATGGAAAGAACCATGTGATATCAAAGAGATAGGTAGAGAGTGATAATAGCAAAGAGAGGAATAACCAAGGAGAGGGAAAACAGAAGTGGAGAGGGGGATCTCTCTTGTCTCACAGAATCATAACTTTTCTAATTAACTTTTGAAATTAATGTCCCAAGTTTTTAAACCTTAAAGAGAAGGTTGAGTTCTAGGGAGAGGTATAAATAATTTTGATGACTCCAGAGCCTTGCAGTACACACCTATATGCTACATGCTCAACCCTTTCTGATCGATTCCACACTGTTTCTTTCACAATGCAATCGCATGACCAGAACTCAACTTTATTTTTAAAGAGGTATTGTCTGTTTAGAGCAAAAAAGGATTTTAACTCTGAGTAAAAGTACAGAGTTTAATATTCTTCTGGCTGTCAACAGAGGGATTACATTCGTTCACTCCTTCTTTTATTTTGTTAAATTGCAAGGGTATTCTTGCTTCCCTTGTTTTGTATTGGAATTTGATTTTTTTTTTTTTTTTTGTTTTGTATAATTATTTTATTTAATGAAGTGGGTTAAATGATATATGTACCTATTAAAAGCACATAATTGATTTTGCATTAATTCTGTTCTGTATTTATTTTCCCTTTTTAGATCTTATTGTAGTCATATCGTCTACTGCCGTAATGTGCTTTGGATCAGAAGGTCAAGTATTTGCTGCATCAGCAATCAGGTAGGTCAGAGGTAAAAGGTCGAAATGTAAGTTTCATGCATGGTCTGAGTATTGCAATGTCTGTTGGAAGCCAGAAGGGAGGTAACGCTGTGTAAACGATAAGATGTAATATATGCACATCTTGTCTCAAACAAATGAAAAAGAGGTGGTTGAAAAGGTATTTAAAGAAACGTGTAAAGACAGTTTTGAAACCCTGGTCATTTTATCTGTAATTTCAATGAAACTTCAGTGTAAAGTTCTTTAATGTAGAGGCCTTTAAACCAAGGCAAGAGTTTCTAAATACACAGCAATACCTTATCAGTATGTGACCTATGGCAGTTGTAATACATCATAGTGATTTATCGTCTGAAATGGCAGACTAGAACAGCCCAATTAAGATGATTCATTGGTTGAAAGCCTCAATGCTCCTTCTGTAGTCTTTGTATGCAGGCAGTGTGTAATTTACTGTCGTAGGTCAGAAAAAGAATGGATCGTCTGCAATGCAACAGGTCTATAAACAACATGACCAGTATGCTTCTAACACTTTTACAGCTTAATAAGTTTGATGCTAGTTTTACATCATATTTGCTATTCTTTTTGTGCATTATGTATAAATCTGGTAACAGTTTCTTCTTTCCCCTTTCACTATTCTTCATCTTTCTATACTTCTTCTATTTCCACTTACTCAAAGTAATGTGCATGCACCTTTCACTCAACTATCTACTTCTACTCTTTCTAGTTTCTTTATTTCAACTTCTAATATAAAGTTATATATATCCTATACTATTTTCACTTCTACTAGTTTCAGTTTCTAGTATTTTCCAATTTGCTGTTTCTAATTGTTCTCTATCTACTTGTACTATTTCCACTTTTTCTGTTTCTACTTCTAACAATCATTTTGTTTGTTGTAACTGTTTCTATTTCTATTTCCACTTTTTCACTTCTACTATTTCCACCTTTTCCCTTGTACTACTTCCGCTTCTAATATTTTCAAGTTGATAAATGTTACTTCTACCTTTTCTTCTTCTGGTACTTCCACTTTTTGCTTCTACTTCTACTTCTTCTACTTCTAATTTGTTGACTGTTGCTATTTCTAGTCCTACCCTTTTCACTTTAAGATCATTTTTGTTCCTACTTCATGATTGTACTATGTTTCATTTAGTTGCTATTCTATAATTTTTACTTATATTTACAGATTCTTATTTATCATGAATGACTGACTTGTCATATATGCTGTTTGGCAATCCTTTTGTGTATGCAGTCTGAAATGTCAGACTAACCTTCCACATAATTGAAGTGATAAATTGTATCCTGATTGATCCTAACCTAGTTGTCCAACCATGTAGATTCACCCCCGCATTCAGACTACTGCAATTCCGGGGACCTTACCTTTTTTTCTAGTCTGAATACCGGTATCATATAAAGAAAAACGTATAATAAAACGTTTTATAGCATGTTTGCTTTTAAATGCTGCTTGTAAGTGTTGGCTTGCATGGTGATGTAGATATACAGTAGGCTTGCAGGTGCACCATGTGAGAGAGAGAGAGAGAGAGAGAGAGAGAGAGAGAGAGAGAGAGGATTGAGGAGTCTTGAAAAGGACTCTGACTCGGTAATCTTTCTTGGGGGTGTGTAGTCCTGAAAAGGACTGTTTGTTATCTTTCTTAGCTTATAGTTCTAAGGAGAACTATAGCGCTTGGAGAGGATGAGTGGCTTGACGTTTCGAGCAGGTTGACTATCCGTCGTCAGGAGTGTACATGGTGCACCCGCAAGCCTACTGTATATTTTTGCTTTTGTTTCAAACAAAAACTCAGTAAAGAATCAGGCTCTTGTTTTAGTCGTAACGTCTTTTTGTGCGGTAAAACTGGGCGGGTTTCTTGTGAGCTCTCTCTGATGATTGGCCAGCAGTCATGTCAGTTGACCTCTTGAAGACTAGTGTACGTTCCTGTACACAATGTTATTTATCTGGGGGGTGTTTCATAAAGCTGTTCGTAAAGTTACGCATGACTTTATGAATGACTTGTATATGAAGTGCCAGATAGGATGCCCAAATTTTTTTCTGAAATTTCCAATAACCTCAATTGAATTATGGCAAAAAATATACTTTGCATTAAGAATGGTTGTTATAATAAGAATGTTAATCTACATCTGCATAGTTCAACTTAATAAATAATAATCAATAATGATTGAGCATCCCATTTGGCTTTTCATATACAAGTCGTTCGTAAAGTCATGAGTAACTTTAGGAACAGCTTTATGAAACACCCCCTGGTCTTTATATCCCATTTGCTGTACATGTATAATGATTCTGTATACAACGTTTCTTTATACGAGTTTCATGTTAGCGTGTGAACAGGGCATCAGTTTGGTTCCGCCCCATTGCGTATTGTCTTGCTCTTAGAAAATGTAAAAAGGAGCAATAGCTATTAACGTCAGATGCATGCCTAGATGGTGCATGAATAAATTTTCCCCAGTCATTAATTAATCTTGTACATGTATGGATAGAAAGTAGGTCACGGATATGACCTCCACTGTTTTTAAATTAGGTCACTAGTAATTGTTTTATTTTACAAAGTATTGTATTAAACATGCGTTTCATTTATCCTCGAGACAATCATTTTCCCAAGTCATTAATTAATCTTGTAAATGTACATCGTATGTATAGAATGCAGTTCATAGATATGACCCCCACTGCTTCTATAGGTCATTAGTAACTGTTTTATTTGTGTTTTTTGTAATAAGTTGCTATTTTGCAAAGCCTTTGTCATGCACAAAGCAGACCTTCCAATCAGTGCCTATTGTTTTCCACAGAATTACACTTGTGGCAAATGAATAACTGTACAAAGAGGTGATGATGCAACCAAAGTCTTTAGAATTCCATCCATACAGCAGTATGAATTAATATGAAAGTACTAAAGCATAACTACATATACTGTAGTTCTACCATCTAGTACTTGCATGCTAATACGGCTACAGGGCTTCCACTGGTAGCTGAGTTACATTTTTTTTTTGCATTTGAAGAAAAAGAAATGTTAAAGTAGTTAGATATAATTTAAAAAAAACTTGCAAATTTTTTGTTTTTAAAAATGTGTAATGTTACACTGCTACTTTTGCTTTACAGATATAATACCCGGCGTAATACATGTTCATAAATATAACCTTTCCATGAGTATCTTATCATTTAATAACCTCCGCCTCATTAACTTATATCTCCTAGACCGCTAGCAGCTGAAGTGTGTTGATCTTAGTGGGTCTAATGCTAACACCCCCATGTGCTTTGGTCCATTAATGATATCTACCCTGTCTTAAGGTAGACCGAGAGATGCGTTTAATTTCCCTGATGATTTACTCCCTCGATACGACTTAGCGGAAATGCACTGAAATATCTCGGCCCATTCAGACTATGGGAACTTCATGCACCACTCATAAAGAAATGTGGTATAAAGAAGCATTGTATATAGCAAGCAGGTGTACACACTTACAAACTAAGTATGGTGTAAAGAAACATGGTATGGAGAAACTAGTTTAGGATAGGTCAGTTGACATATCCCCCCATAGTAGTAAAAGTAGTAATGATAGTAGTAGTAGAAGTAGTAGTAGTATCAGTTCATGCTCTCGATATGCCTCGTCTAGAATAGTGTTTTCATGTGATACATCATTCACATGAGAAGTGCAATCAGATTCTTTATTGAGTTTTTCTTTGAAATGATACTCAATTCTGTACTATACACAAAGTTCCATTTATATGATTTTTCATACTATAGAACAAATGTTCACATTAGGAGTAAATTTAGTTTTGAAATGATGCTCACTTTGAACTTTGTTTAAAAGATGTTCAAACTAAAAAAGATATCTAGAGTAGGCTTGCGGTTGCGAGAGAGAGGATTGGTAAGTCCTGAAAAAGGACTCTCAATAATTTTTCTTTCTTGAGTGTGGTAGTCCTAAAAAAATATCATTACTTATTGTGGAGCTATTGTTTTGTTTTGTTTTTGTGTACAATGAATTTTGGTAGTGCGAATGGGGTCCATTGAGCTACCAGCGGAATGCATCATAAACACACAGAGATGATCATGATTACTTTATCAATAATTAAACCAGATTCATCATGAAAACTAATAATGGTTAGTAGCTAGCACACTAAGGAGAACATGGGAAAGATGGGAACATACAGCAATAATGCAGCAATGAATGATTCAGTGGTTTTCTTGATGAGATTTAAAAATAAAAATCATTACAGACTAAAAAATTATTACTGACGTGAATTAAGCAGGAGGTTGAGGGGGCGGGAAGTAATATAAAACATTGAATGTTAAATTTTCCTAATGAAGCTACTGGAACTAATATATTTTTCATAATAACTACTGCTTCTATTTCCCTTACTTTTTCTCAAGTCGTTTGGAGGTGCATACACAATTTGATATCATAAAATAATGTTCACTATATGGGACAGAATTGCATTATTACTATTCTGACTACTTCTACAACAGAAAAACAACAACTACTACTACTACTACTATTACTACTATTACTACTACTTCTACTACTACTACTACTACTACTACTACTACTACTATTACTACTACTACTACTTCTACTACTACTACTACTACTACTACTACTACTACTACTACTACTATTACTACTACTACTACTGCTACTTTTAATTTCTACTTCTACTACTACTACTTCTACTACTATTACTTCTACTACTTCTACTACTACTACTACTACTACTACTACTACTACTACTACTACTACTATTACTTCTACTACTACTACTACTACTACTACTACTACTACTACTTCTACTTCTACTACTACCACCACCACCACCACTACTACTACTACTATTACTTCTACTACTACTACTACTACTACTACTACTACTACTACTTCTACTTCTACTACTACTACTACTACTACCACCGCCACCTTCATCACCACCACCACTAGTACTGCTACAGTTAATTCTTTAAGTAAGAGTACTTCTATACTACACCTATACCTCTGATAGTTTTATACTTTTATTGCTTTGTTGATTTTATTCTCAGTTATATTTTCTTTGAATATCTTTAAATGATAATGTATATTTGTAGTTTTGGTGTTATTTGTAAAGTTATAATTGATTCTTGGTGCATTTAAAATGTTTGCTTTATTCATACTGCAGATTACTCTAAATGTCCCATTTGATTGATATTTTTTCAGGGGTGTGCGTTTTCTTCAAATTCTTCGTATGTTGCACATAGACAGACAAGGAGGAACATGGAGACTTCTTGGTTCAGTAGTATTTATTCATCGGCAGGTAAGGGACTTACATCTCCTTAATGTCCATATAAGTCATGCTAAATCACCACAGGAAATTGTCATAAGGAAAATTAGTTTTAACTTGGCAAATGAAGAAAAAAAATTATGTTAGATCAGCAGAGAAAAATTCCTCATAACTATATATATGTGCAAAAAAAATTTAAAAAATCATTGCACTTTTTGCAGAAACCATTTAATTATTCTCTAATGTACAATTCTCAACTGTAAAACCAGTAACCTAGCATGTTGTTCTGCAAGAAGACCTTCATAATTGAATATAATAGTGATGCAAGGATGTGAGATGCCAAATTTCATGCTTTAAAATTAATGTGTGGTGATTGTTTACACTTCTGGTGGTACAGAAATTGTTGCTATATTTTTATTTATTTTCTTTGTTTCTTTCAGGAGCTGATAACCACATTATACATTGGCTTCCTGGGGCTCATATTTACCTCTTATTTTGTATATCTTGCTGAGAAGGATCATATAGATGCTAAGGGCATTTGTCAATTTGAGACTTATGCTGATGCTCTATGGTGGGGTGTGGTAAGAAATATTATCATTTCATTAATGACTTATTGAACCATTTGGAAAGAGTGCTATACTTTTAACCACCTTTCCATGTATTGAATTTACATTGATTAATGTCAGACATACCTATTTCCATTAATTTCAACATTCTGAATGCCATTGCTACTCCTTTCCATGTATGAATATACATTTAACAACTAAATTATCTATATCCTTACCAAGTCTTGTAATATATGTGAATAATGATTTGTCCCAATTTATGTTTGTTAAGAATGTGACAACAAAGGCTCTAATTCAGCCAGTCCACCTTTCATTCTTGAGTGACAAAAATACACAAATATATGAAATATACAAGGATATGAATAATTTAGTTGTTAACTGTACATGTACATAAGTGCATTTAGCCATTTAGAATTGATCTCTTCCCTGGTGCCTTCAACTGATTCATTGAGGCTGTTCACACCGCAATCAGATAGCGCGGTCTATCGTAGCACCCCCTTTTTTCTAGTGCGTGCTAGACCGCGCTATCTCTCGTGGACCACCCCCAAGAGGTGCTCCAGTGGCACGCCGTTTTGGCTCGCCGTGGCTCGCTGTTGGGCGGACCGAAACGACGTTGTACCTTCCAAACCGCAGAGAAAGCGCGATCTAGCGCGCGCTATCTCTGCCGGTGTGAACAGCCTCACTGACTGACGGGTGTACACCCTGGGACTAATCACAAATTGATCAGAATTCTTGTTTCTCTGTTTACATGTTGAGAGCACCAGCCATCTGATCAAACAGTCTTTGAAACTGATAGATCACCGTTGTCTTGCCGTTAGGGACTCTCCATTTCCCTTTACCATCAAACATTTGTGCTTCTGGTGTTGTATATTGCTTTTCACTTTAAAGCAGTGTCGTCTCTAAGATCCATTCCCTCCCTGTTATTCTTCCCCTGTCTTTCCACTCTGCCTCCCTCTGTTTATTTTCTCTTGCACTCACTCACTCACTCTTTGTGACTCATGTTGTGCTGGGTCTTTTCTACCCCTGTTTCTTGTTCTTTCTCTCTCTCTCTTTCCCTCCAATCCCATGAAATATATTTCACTTTTCAGCTTAGTTATACTTTTTGCTGATATCCTTTTTTGCCCTCTTTCTATTCCTCCATATGTGTTGTCTCTCACACTGTTTTGAACTCATATCTTCCCCCTTATTTGTAAAGCGCTTAGAGACATTTGTATTAAGCGCTATATAAAAATTAATTATTATTATTATTATTCCTCTCCTTTGCCCTTCCCTCTCATATGCCATCTCTGTTTCTCACTCCTATGCTTATTTCCCACTTTCCCCCTGTCAATTGCTTTTTTCACTTCAATGCATATTTCTCCCCTTTGTACTACACTCTGTTATCCCCTCTCTCTTTCTCTATCTTTCTATTTATCCTCTGTTTCTCCATGTTTTGTGTCCCTCAGCATAAGTTATAAATATTTCATATATATTTTCCTCAGTCCCATCTTTTTCTGCCTGTCTTTCTTTCTTTTTCTTTCTTAGCATACCCCTCCCTCTCTCTTTCTCTCTCTCTCTCTCTCTATATATGTATATATCTCTCACCTTATTTAACTATGGCTTAGCCCACAAAGATGTTTTCTGCTCTTCAATCAATGTATACTTGTAGCAAGAACCTTGTAATACCCCTCATAGAACACCAAGTCCTGCAGTTGCAACAGAATTTGAACCTCAAACCCCTTGTCTCAGAATAAATAAATTTTGTTTGTTTTCAAAACTGGTTTACCATATCAACTATCTCTTTTGTCCTATTCTCCAAAGCCTTAATCCACTCATGAGCCTCTCGACTTGTAGAACAGTAAGACACTAAGTCACAATGGAATCTGAATGCTAAACATTGTCTTCAAATCACTTGATTTTGTTTGTTTTTAAAACAGGTAACTGTGACAACCATTGGCTATGGAGACAAAGTGCCCAATACCTGGTTGGGCAAGATGATAGCTTCCTGTTTCTCAATATTTGCAATATCTTTCTTCGCTTTACCGGCGGTGAGTATTGTATACCTGCAATATCTTTCTTCGCTTTACCGGCGGTGAGTACTGTATTCCTGCAATATCTTACCGGCGGTGAGTACTGTATACCTGCAATATCTATCTTCGCTTTACCGGCGGTGAGTACTGTATACCTGCAATATCTTACCGGCGGTGAGTACTGTATACCTGCAATATCTTACCGGCGGTGAGTACTGTTTACTTGCAATATCTTACCGGCGGTGAGTACTGTATACCTGCAATATCTTACCGGTGGTGAGTACTGTATACCTGCAATATCTTACCGGCGGTGAGTACTGTATACCTGCAATATCTTACCGGCGGTGAGTACTGTATACCTGCAATATCTTACCGGCGGTGAGTACTGTATACCTGCAATATCTTACCGGCGGTGAGTACTGTATACCTGCAATATCTTACCGGTGGTGAGTACTGTATACCTGCAATATCTTACCGGCGGTGATTACTGTATACCTGCAATATCTTACCGGCGGTGAGTACTGTATACCTGCAATATCTTACGGCGGTGAGTACTGTATACCTGCAATATCTTACCGGCGGTGAGTACTGTATACCTGCAATATCTTACCGGCGGTGAGTACTGTATACCTTAAGCTTAATATCTTAAGCAGAGCAGGGCCCTGTTTCATGGAACTTGTTATGAATAACATGCTGCAATAACTGTTTTATAAGCTCCTCAAATAACTGCATTAGATTGTGAGCTGTGTTGTCATTGAAATTTGAAATTTGTTAATGATAGCAAGTTTTATGAAACAGGTATGTATCAGGTTTGTATTGTCCCAAATACCTGTGATTAAGTTATAACTCGGTATTCTTATGATTGACATTTTGCAATGGTGATAATGAGATGACAGTACAGATACCATGTCAGTGTGTGTATGGCAGCCACTATGGCTGTAAGAAGACAATAAATAGAGAAAGAGACAGAGAGAGAGAGAGGGAGAGATTGGGGGTAATGAGAGAGATAGAAAGAAGGAGAGATAGGGAGAGAGAGGGGGATAATGAGAGAGAGAGAGAAAGAGAAAGAGAGAGAGAGGGGGGGGGGGGGGTAATGATGATGATTGGAGGAGGAAGCGGGCATGATATGCTGCAGAATAAGAAGAAACAAAAGATTGAGAAAGAAGAAAGAGGACAAGATCATGATCTATCTATGTTAGATGTGGATATACTCAGACTGGTGACTGTTCTTATTATGCTGATTAATGTTAGAGGGAAAAGATTATCCGTAGATACAAATTGTTGGTTTATTCATCCTGTAATGATTAGAATATCAACTTACATAATACCACAAGGCTGTTTTATACCATGTATCCCTTAAAGCCTATCTGCACTAGTTTGGTCAGGAGGGATTAGACCTCCCCGCATGGTCACTGACAGGTGGATATCTCATCAAATCAGCTCTCAACTAACATGGGACCATGGGGGACCAACGGTCACCGCTATATACTATATAGAGGGCGCAAGTAGCTATAAGTAGTGCAGTGGGGCTTTAAAGGGACTCAGTAACATAGTTCAGATGAGAGATTCCTAAATTCTCCCAACCTTATTATCATGATTAAATTAAATTTTAGGTGACTGTAAATCATCACATGAATTGGCTTCATATACCATTCCAAACATTTGGGTTTTGAAAAAAAAAAATTAAGAGCCTGTTTTATGTCTTAATAATAATTCAAAAATTGGTTGGGAGAATTTACTGTTAGAGGGAGTTATATATTGCTGCTGTCAAAGAAAACCATGAATATATTTGTGATTTGAGCATATTTCAGGATTTTGTGCATGTTAGAGGGTTAGTACAGTAGAAGGAATATGATAAGTAACATTTCATACAAAAATTAGGCAGTTTTTTTCATCAACTTTCAACAATGTGACCGAATCACTTAAAGGGTTGTATGCCACGGTTTACCGTTGTGTTTTTGTTTTGTTTACTTAATGAAATGCAAGTTGGGATTCAAAGAGTACTTGCGCACAACAAAGCTACGTGTTATAACAAAGATGTAAACAAATTAAAATACAGTGTGCTTAAGTAACCTTTAAAAATAAACCTGGGGTAAACCGTAGCAGTAATCTGCAGCATATTGTGAACAGGCCTATACGTGGCCATTATAGGTGCTTAAATTTTTTTTTTTGAATCGCCCTTTGCAACCGACCCAAAAATCTATGGTCGGCTTTTAAAAAATGTTTATTTTTTAAAACTGTTTTTTAGAGAAAAAAGTGTATTAGAGCATTCAAATCTGAGAAATGTCAGCCGAAAGAGGGAGAGAAAAAAGAAAAAAAAAATTCTGACCGACCGACTGACCCATGTTTTGGCACCTAAAGGGCAAGACAACATCTTTTGTTTGCTAAGCATTATAGAAAGGTTTAAATATATTTTTCATAAATCCAAGCTTTGTGGGAAAACCACAACAGCTACAGTATACCTGATTTCCTAGAATACCAAACATTATGAATTCTCATTTGAAGCTCATTAGGGCTAATGAGGAGAGCATGTCTGTATTATTGCCACCTGTGTATAGGGACCATGCTTTCTGCTTCTCTTAGGTGGTCATTATAGAAAGGTTTAAATGCATGACAATTGACCATACTTTTCAGTAATTGAAGTCATGGGCTATAACTGTAAAAGCTCCAATCTAGTAATGCGTCACATTTCTTCCCATTAGCGCATTGTACAAGAGGTTTTGCAGGATGATATAATGAGTTTACATTCTATCCTGATCAGTGCTAATACGAGTTGCTAGGAACTGCAAGATGAGGCGTGAAGTATGTATCCAAAAGGTACACAGATTAATGTGTTTACCTGAATCTCATTTTCTCTGCCAATTGGTAGTGTCTAGCTGCCTTCGAGTGGGAATAGTACATCAAATGATCATGATGTAAATGTAGGCCTATCACGTGAGGCATTTATAGATAATAGTATTGATTCCAGGAATTCCTGAGTCCTTGATCCATGACATTTGAAAATACACCATTAAAAGAATCCTTGGAGTTAGTGATGAAGAACTATATAAAGAGCTCTTATTGAAATACAATCAAAGGGATGTTATTACAAAAGATAAATGCATAATGTTAGTCTGCAGTTATAGATGTTGTTTTCTGAACTCGTCTGTATTATGCGCTATACAAGAACTGAACTATTATTATTATTATTACTTAACCATCGTGCTTGTCATCAGTTGGCCTTTATTCCTTTACAAAGATTAAAGGGGAAGTCCACTCTGATGTTAAGTTGCATCTAATAAAAGCAGAACAAATAGAGAAACAAATAAGTGAAAGTTTGAGCATAAGCAGACGACATCCTGTAACTAAAGAACATATTTTCAGTGTAATTATTTCTCAATTATAAGGGATTGATTGATTTTAAACATTAAAGTATTTCAGACCATTTTAAAAGGGAAGTGATGCTGATGATTATAAGTATAATATTTTGCTTAGAAATATTCAGGGCGAGGATAAATGATTGATTAAAGAAACCACCAATTTTCAGCTTCTACTAAAAGCAACTTAATATCAGGGTGGTCTTTTCTTTTAAGGAAGGTGTTCCTCAATTAGTGCAGGCCTGATATTTGTTGACTAGTCCATGCCAGATAACATGCGAGTGGTGATCGAGGTTGTTCTGAGATGCAAGAATTGTTCCATATTATATACAAACTGAATCCCTAACATCAACCATGGACCAAACTCTATACCTAACTCTAATTCAATCCCTAAACCCTATCCTAAGTCTTACCATAACCCAAACACTACACCTTACCCCTAACCCTTTTACCATAAAACGCAATTACATCTATAAGCTCAATCCTATACCTTAAATGGATGGAATCAAGCTTGGCACAATCATCACCGAAGCAGACGTTGGAGCACCACTGCAACATTTTCCAATACTGTTTTTTTTTCATCTGTACCTGTACCCTATACTTATCCAGAAACTCACCCTTGAATCTAATTTCAACCCTAAATTTGCACCTTCATGTAGATTAATGTCTTTAACAATCTAAGCACCTGTCATGTGAGTCAATGCCGGAGCACTGCTGAGGCGTTGATGTGATTTTCCAAAACTGCCTTTTCTCATCTATACCTTCACCAAACCTTACCCAAATCCAACCTAACACCCAAGTTCGCTCCCAACACTAAACCAACTTGTCCATCATTGACCAGTCAAATTTGGAACAATATTGTCAGATCACCCTATTGCAATATGACTGTAACAACTCAATAAGGCCTTTGATTGATCCTAAATCTATTTGGGAGATATCAGATTGCAATCCAAAGGCTCTTTGACCCCACTGCAGGCTGAACATGCATGATAATAGTCTGTAATAGTGTGGAAATGAGAGTGATCTGAGTAACAATCGAAGGCCAAGCTTTGATTGATAGAGCAATCTGCCTAACTAATCACGCTAGGATGGCCGTGCCACAGGGCCACGGTGTATCGCAGCACCCATCTTAATCACTAGTAATGAAATGGACAATGCCAAAGATCTTCACAAATTGGCAATGAAAATGGCTACCACCCTGACCTGTATTCAATGTAGTCTTCTTCCTAAGAGTTTTCATAATACTTACTTGATTTATTTTAAAATCTTATAAAGTTATAAAGTTTATGATTGTACTCCATCAATTGCAAATTGGTATTTCTGTGATCTATTTGTTTTAGCCCCTCGACCATTTGCTTTGTGTCCTGATTTTTGTATATATAATAAATTTGACTCTTTTTTTTGTGAAGGAATAGATGTATTTCACAACAGGATTGCACATAAACATGCATAAAATTATGTCCAGGTTTTATGTATGAATAATGTTTTCTTAAAAGAAAATAGAGCTGTTTAAATGGATAAGGTGCTAAAATAATTACAGGGTTGCCAATTTAGATCTCATAAAAGACAAATTCAAAAACTCAGAAGCCATTCTTATTAATGCTTGCATATTTACCAAATCATCCTCATTACAGGTAATCCATCAGAACTTGAACACATGCAGAAAACTTAATCCTCAGATTTGCCTTATATATACATCCAATGTATTATATACAACTAGCCAATTCTACTATAGATCTGTGTTTCTCTTCAAATTTGTGTATATTTGCTGTTTAATCCTCCATCAGTGGAAAGCTAACACAGGGAGAATACATAAACTTTATCATTTTTTCCCTAAAATAATATTCTATACCATTTGTCTCTGTAATTGTTCACAATAAATAAATTAAAAACAAAAAATAAAATGGTAGCATCTGTGATGTTGATTATGGCAATAACAATTATAATAATAATGATAATAATAATGACGATGATGATGATTATAATAATAATGATACAAATAATAATATTATTATTATTAACAAATAACAATAATACTATTTCATCATTTCTTTCCACTCTGAATGTGTGTTTGCCTTTAAATGTCTGCATATTTGCGTTATCGTCCTCTCATTGAGGAAAGACACAGAGAGAATTTCTTAATCACCATGCTGTACCATTCCATGTGTTAGCAGAAGCTCTCTCTATAATTAATTGTGGGGAGGTTTTCAATCGTATGATGTCAGACGGAGATTGACGTCATATCTCACCACCAGAGTGATGATGTCATACCAAGCCAAGGACGGTCGGCCATTAGCGCTGCTTCCTTGCTGCTGTTATTATCGCATACAGTGAACATGTGCCTTTGCAAATACAGCCTTCTGAATGAGAGCTAGAAGGGCTATCATTTACGCAGAGTTAATATCTTTCTGGCTCTTAAGTAGGGATGATGTCATATCTAGGTGGGAGGCTAGCTATTACCGCTGGGTGTTTATTGCTATTATTATAGGCGTTGTCATCCTTGTGTAAATACAGCCATCTTAGGTATTGTCTGCTAGCTGAGAGTCAGAAGGGCGTTAATACAGATTCAATGCTCTTCTGACTCTCAGCAGAGGGATGACGTCATACCAAGGCAAGGAAGCCTGCATCCTGCCTTTAAAGATAAAGACCAGTTATGGTCATGTGATTGCATTGTGAAAGAAACGTGGAATCGATCAGAAAAGGTTGATCATCTAGCATATAAGTATTGGTGTGTACTGCAAGGTTCTGGAATCATCAAAATGATAAGAAATTTGGCCCAGTCTTCGTAAAGTTACAAGAACTGTACACAGAAAGATGTATATGGGACGTGCGTTTATCTCTCACAGTCCAATGGATAAACTAATTTACCAAATATATCAATTAGTAGGCGGTTTCCCGGCAAATTTTTATCATCATGTATTAGTCAAAACATATTCTTTCACATGATTGATAATAAAGAGCTTTCTTTACATTTTTTTTAATTGGGGCGTTTCCAATACTGGTCTTTACCTTTAAGATGGTATCATCCAAATGCAGCCATTTTCTCCAGGCCTGTTAAACAGGAGGTATATATAGAGATCTAGCTAGGGAAGGTGATGAATAACTTGTTAATGTTCTGAAGATGGTTGTTTTACCTGATTGCTAAGAAAGCATGTATATGCTTGTTAACAAACAACCAGGGGATCGACAGCATTAAGTCCTCTCCAAGGGACTTGGTAATGAGGATTAATATCTTACAGAAGAGAAAATATAAATGTGGAGGAAATACATGTTGGGTACAGTAGTAGTAACCTATCAGGATAGAATCCTGTTAAAATGCCTTTATATTACAAATTACTAGAACACAATTGTGAATATACTATATGTCTTTCTGCAGTGCTCTTTACTGTTTGTGATTTTTCAACGATATTGGGTCATTTTTTGGTATAATTTTGACAAATGCAAAGCTTCACAATACATATCTATTCTTCCAAAATACATAATTAAAAAAAGGAGTAGTTTACCCTTTACATGTTTTGTTCATTATGTTGCTGTTATTAAAGGTGTCATGCATTTCCTTATCTAAATATAATTTGTAACCCTTGCAATGCTGTATGTAGTTTTTAGATGAAGCAACTAACATGAGAGAGAGAGAGAGAGAGTGGGGGAGGGGGGGGGGGCAGAACAAAAGTGATGAGAGGAAGGGTAAGAAAGAAAGAGAAAGAGAGATGAAAAACAGACAGACTAGAAGGAGAAAAAGATACAGAGAGAGAGAGAGAAGGGGAGAGAGAAAGATAGAGAGATGAGAGAGAGAGAGAGATGAGAGAGAGATGAGAGAGAGATGAGAGAGAGAGAGAGAGAGAGAGAGAGAGAGATGTCAAGGTAGAAGAGAGACATTTAGGAGAGATGTCACACGTAGTAAGCTCCTGTCTGGCACATAAGCCTAGAGGATCAAGGTATTTCTCAAGTAGCTGCTCAACTTTAATGGCCAGCTAGCCCACCCTACTCACTCATGTTGTTAAAGGGAAAGTCCACCCTGAAATTAAGTTAGTTTTAATAGGAGTAGAAAAATGAGAGAAACAAGTCAGTGAAAGTTTGAGCAAATTCCGATTAAAAATAAGGAAGTTAGGATTTTTGAAGTTGTGATCAATCAAACACAAATTGGCAACTCTATGACGTATCATGCGAGCTCAACTTCCATTTGCTCAGTACTAAAAAAATCTAAAATTTTCATTTTCCCTCAAGAAAAATTTCAACCATACATGCACCCTAAATATAATAATTGCAAATATGTTTCTATACTCCCCCTGCAAGGAACAAATATATATTCTGTCATCAATAACGAAGAAAACATGATTTTATGGAATATTATGCACAAAGCAAATGAAGGAGAGCTCGTATGATAAGTCACAGAGTTGCCAATTTGTATTTGATTGATCACAACTTCAATAATTCATAACTTTCTTATTTCATTCAGAATTTGCTCAAACTTTCACTCACCTGATTTTCTTATTATTCTGCCTCTATCGAAACAAACTTATTTTTGGGGTGGACTTTCCCTTTAACTCTTTGACTAGTGCATTATCTTGTTCCCATAGGGGAAGTCCACTCTGATATTGAGTTGGTATTTAAAAAGCAGAAAATGAGAGAATCAAATTAGTGAAAGTTTGAGCAAAAACCAATTACAAATAAGCAAGTTATGAATGTTTGAAGTTGCGATCATTGAAACACAAATTGGCAATGCTGTGACGTGTCTTGCGAGCTCCTCTCCAATTTGCTCTGTACAGAAAATATCTTAACCTTTCATTTTCTTAGTTATTGATGCCGGAATAGATTTGTTTCATACCAAGATTGTATTTTTAAAAAATTGCAATAATTATATTTAGGGTGAATTTATGATTTTAAATTTTCTTAAGGGAAAATATAAATTGTTGAAGTTTTTTTTTTGTCTTTAACAAAGAATAACAAGTAATGATTTGTGGTCTACTGCTCTTCGTGCTTCAATTTCACTCAAAGGTTTTGCCTAAAAAGACGACATGAGGTGTTTGGCATATTAAATACTTGACTCTCAAAGACGACTCACTTTGTAGTAGCCTGAGCCGAGTCATAAAGATTGAAGTGTTATTAATTAGCCTTCCACTCATATATCAAAGCAAGTGCAATAGTAATTATACACAAGTCATATTTCTGAGAAATAAATAAATGTAAAACTGAATATTTCAAATTGAGTGACATCTTACACCATGACTGTAAATTCATATGAACTATTGGATCTGCAAAATAATTAATTACACAATTTGACATTTTCTGTCATCGCAAATGTAGGTTAGGCTAATATCATGCTTTCATTTCAGTTTTATTCAGTCTTTAATGAAAGGTATTCCATTCCATACTTTTTAAACAGAGAAAGGGGAATTAGCTTGGAAAGGTATTCTTTGATGGAGGAGAAATTTTTTGGGAAAAATATTCTGTGTGACTCCAAAGAAGAGAGGACCTGGAGACACAAGGACAATGTGATTGTGACTAATTCATCATTATACCATTCTATGTTTCTTTCTATCTTATTACTGCAGGGTATTCTAGGTTCAGGGTTTGCTTTGAAGGTACAACACAAGCAGAGGCAAAAACATTTCAGTCGTCAAATTCCTGCAGCTGCTACCCTTATTCAGGTAAGTATCATTAAGACCCAAAGTCATGAATGATGTTCAAACTTTAAACCATGGTTTGAGCTACACTTTAAGACGAGGAAAAGATGTTTCTTTATAATATTGGAATTTTGTATTTCTTTCAACAAATGCTGATTGAACAATCCTCTGTAGAAAGAAAAACGCATTCATTTAAGTTGATTGCCTTAAAAGTTGCAGAGATTATTTGAGTTAGCTATTGTTCTATCGTTTTCTCTCGAATTTGTGGGTTTGATACCTGACACGTCACTGATGTCCTCTGGCAAGGCATTAATCTAAATTTACCACTCCATACCCAGGAGAGAAATGGGGACCTGGTAGGATGATGAAAGCCTTTGTGTTAGTAATTGCCATATGCCCTCATGGTGACCATATGGTAGGAATACTCCCCAGGGAGTGGAGATGGTGCACATTAATTGAATCCGATGACCAGGGAAATATATCTGTAAAGCGCTTAGAGACGGTATTTTGTATTAAGTGCTATTTTACTCCAGATTATTACTTAATATATGTATAATTATCGCAGTTGAACTTTTGGTGCCATATTCATACCTTCTGTAGAAAAAGATTATGTATCATCTATGGCCAATGATTCAATTAAGAAGAAAAATATGAACTGTAGGTGAACACAAAATTTAAGGAATAGACACCCAAAATTGGTTTGTTGATTTTGAAAAAATAAAGGTTTAATATAAGTTGATAAAGATTTTTGTTCACAGGTAAATGTGAGAAAGACTGAAGAGTAAAGCCTTTGGTTGATTTGTTTTGTGTGTTTGTCTTGGATGTAGTGTGCCTGGAGATTATATGCCTCAAATCAAGAGGGTTTCAAATCAGAAGCAACATGGAAAATCCACTTAGCGCCCTCTACGCCCAACCTGCAACAATCCGTGCCTAACCAACTATCAGGGGTGGTGAACTCAGTCAAACCTCACCTCGCATTGAAGCGACGTAAGAGCTCCAAGCTGAGCCTGAAGGAGGCCCTCCTACCAACGACGCTCCTGGAGCTGTGTGAGCAACCAGCAGCCAATCAAAATGCAGCTAATTCAAATACCTCACCACCAGCGGATAAGATATCTCCGTTGATGGGCGGGGTTGCTTGTAACTTGGCTGGGTCAGTGGCAGTGGCCGCAGCAGGAGCCGGTGGTGATATGGTGTGCTATATGGAAGAACCCACAGCAGGTATTAAAACACAGTGATTAGGCCCTTCACTTCAGTGCTCTACCAATTTAATCCTCCAAATAAAATGAGTTTTGAAAGAGAACCAGTATCCACATATTATAAAGTGTACTCCCATTTATTATATTTGAATGTCCAATTTAATAATAAAACAATTATCAAATCTAACTCATGTTTGAATGATTATATATGACAATTGCTAAAAAACAACTTACCATTGATCACATGATATAAATTAGATATTCTAAAATCATTTCATTTCAGCCTCCCTTCAAATATCGGTATTAATTCCACACAACTGAGCTTTTGTGAGAGGTTGGTGATTGCTTGAGCATAAATGTTAGTACTTTTGAGATACCCCCCCCCCCCTCCGAAAAAAGAAGAAATTTATATAAAAAAAAGTGTTCTTAATTCACAGTCCTCTTGATATTATTTGAAATGGATGGCTCCTAAATTATTTGGAATAACCAAAATGAGCACAAAAATTCAGACTAACCAGAAAATCTGTAACATTTTGTTTTGAAATTCCACAGGAAAGCCGAACAGGAAGAAAGCAGTTGAGTTGTCAGTATTGGACATCTCATAGAGAATGTTGAAAATGAAATACATTATTTATTTTGAATTTCTTTGAAAGAGCCGACTCAGTAATAGATTCAAATAACTTTAACTAGCACAATTTTTTGGAAAATCAAAGGATTAAATTACATGTAAATTCACAGTAACCTGACAATCTTTTTTGTTGTTCATCTTCTGTAGGAAACCCTAACAGAAAGAGAGCAGTGGAGCTATCGGTATCAGACAGCTCACAGAGAACAATGAGAATGGGAGATATTGTTTGCCTTGATCCTCATGATGAAAGTGATACTTACAGCCTTCCCTATGTGCCTGAAACAATAACCACGTGAGTGATCTGCCAAGGAAAGTGGGCCACTTTAAATTATTTACAGGAATTGAGTTGAGTTGACTAGCTACCAACCTAGCTGACCCAGTCAAACTCAAGTTGAGTGTTTGTTGAGTCATTACAAGTCTTCCAGTGGTGTTCTAGAGGCCTATAAGATGAGCTCAGTCCCGTGGTGTTCTAGAGTCATATAAGATGAGCTCAGTTCTGTGGTGTTCTAGAGTCCTATAAGATGCGCTAAGTCCTGTGGTGTTCTAGGGTCCTATAAGATGAGCTCAGTCCCATAGTGTTCTAGGGTCCTATAAGATGAGCTCAGTCCTGTGTTGTTCTAGAGTCCTATAAGATGAGCTCAGTCCCGTGGTGTTTTAGAGTCCTATAAGATGAGGTCAGTCCTGTCGTGTTTTAGAGTCCTATAAGATGCGCTAAGTCCTGTGGTGTTCTAGGGTCCTATAAGATGCACTCAGTCCCATAGTGTTCTAGGGTCCTATAAGATGAGCTCAGTCCTGTGTTGTTCTAGAGTCCTATAAGATGAGCTCAGTCCCGTGGTGTTCTAGAGTCCTATAAGATGAGGTCAGTCCTGTCGTGTTCTAAAGTCCTATAAGATGAGCTCAGTCCCGTGGTGTTCTAGGGTCCTATAAGATGAGCTCAGTCCCGTGGTGTTCTAGAGTCCTATAAGATGCACTCAGTCTCGTGGTGTTCTAAAGTCCTATAAGATGAGCTCAGTCCTGTGGTGTTCTAAAGTCCTATAAGATGAGCTCAGTCCCGTGGTGTTCTAGGGTCCTATAAGATGAGCTCAGTCCCAGGTGTTCTAGGGTCCTATAAGATGAGCTCAGTCCCCTGGTGTTCTAGAGTCCTATAAGATGAGCTCAGTCCCGTGGTGTTCTAGAGTCCTATAAGATGCACTCAGTCCCATGGTGTTCTAGAGTCCTATAAGATGAGCTCAGTCCCCAGGTGTTCTAGGGTCCTATAAGATGAACTCAGTCCCTGGTGTTCTAGAGTCCTATAAGATCAACTCAGTCCCCTGGTGTTCTAAGGTCCTATAAGATGAGCTCAGTCTCGTGGTGTTATAGGGTCCTATAAGATGAGCCAGTCCCGTGGTGTTCTAGAGTCCTATACGATGAGGTCAGTCCTGTCGTGTTTTAGAGTCCTATAAGATGAGCTCAGTCCCCTGGTGTTCTAGGGTCCTATAAGATGAGCTCAGTCCTGTGTTGTTCTAGAGTCCTATAAGATGAGCTCAGTCCCGTGGTGTTCTAGAGTCCTATAAGATGAGGTCAGTCCTGTCGTGTTTTAGAGTCCTATAAGATGAGCTCAGTCCCTGGTGTTCTAGGGTCCTATAAGATGAGCTCAGTCTCGTTATGTTCTAAAGTCCTATAAGATGAGCTCAGTCCCGTGGTGTTCTAGGGTCCTATAAGATGCGCTCAGTCCCGTGGTGTTCTAGGGTCCTATAAGATGAGCTCAGTCCCCTGGTGTTCTAGAGTCCTATAAGATGAGCTCAGTCCCGTGGTGTTCTAGAGTCCTATAAGATGCACTCAGTCCCATGGTGTTCTAGAGTCCTATAAGATGAGCTCAGTCCCATGGGGTTCTAGAGTCCTATAAGATGAGCTCAGTCTCGTGGTGTTATAGGGTCCTATAAGATGAGCCCAGTCCGTGGTGTTATAGGGTCCTATAAGATGAGCCCAGTCCCGTGGTGTTCTAGAGTCCCATAAGATGAGCTCAGTCCCGTGGTGTTCTAGAGTCCTATACGATGAGCCAAGTCCCATGGTGTTCTAGCATCCTATAAGATAAGCTCAGTCCTGTGGTGTAACGGAATCAACATGGGTTATGTCGCAGGTCAAGGGATGAGGTCCTGGAGTTGGACTTGAAACCTACACCAATGAGAACCCACATACTCCTATTTTCTGCAAGTTCTATGATCACCGTTGCTATTGACTATTTAAGTACAAGTCTATGTAAGCTCTATGCCTTCTGTCAGGGGTTTCAGGACTCACAAATAATGCTCGGCTTGAGGATTACCTTTCAAATCATAACCTGTATAAAGGGTTTCCTTCCACCGAATACAATGTCATGGTTGCGGTACCCGGTATTCAATGACACACCATACAGGCTCTCCCTTATCCTTACCTAGAACCTTGTTTCAAACCTCGTCAACTGCACAGATTCAACCATACATACATGTACACTCACCTTCACTCTGCCGCACCCAACTAAAATTCTTGTGATCTAAGAAAACATGACAAATATTTTCTTAGTTGCCTAGCTCTCTCAGGAATTAAATGGCCAAAGCACGAGTAAAATAAATAATTGAAATTCCCAATTTATTCTGACACCTTCAAAGGCAGTTGGTGTAATGACGTCATGAAAATGAATTTACATCTATGCCATATGTAGAAAATTCAATGCACACCATAAAAGCATGCAAGTTATGGTTTATCCTGGAAATTAATCATTCTGTTTTATTTCATTTCTCTCCTATTCCAGACTCACAGATGCCCATAAAAATGCAATTCGTGCAATAAGAAAAATTAGGTATTATGTTGCAAGAAGAAAATTCCAGGTAAGTCTAACTAATTCCTAATTTGTGTCCTTTTATCACAAACCCAAGCCAAGATATATTAACTGTTTATTATTTGATTTTTTTTATAAATCACATACAGTACATCTACACATTTATGTAGCTGACTGTTAAACATGGATATTGATTCATCCTAAATCTTTCAACGTTTGTTTGTGAGACATTGGCTGTGGTTCTTAATGAGATTCATACTTCAGTTTCATTCATGAATTTATGAAGAAAAATAAATAAATACAGTAGACGTAGAAAGAACAGAGAGTAGCAGCAAGAAAATATTATGTTAATTCTGGCAACTGTGATTTTCTCATATTATTGATATACAGTGCATCCTAGAAAAAACAAAACCGAGAATTATCAATGTGTTATCATAACTTAAACACAGTTATAATTATTAAGTGGCACATATTTGTAAAGCTTAGATCCTCCTCTTTCATTTGATGCAACTCATATGATGCATATTTCATGCATGAGTGATTGAAAACAATTTGAAAAAGGGTACCAAAAAGTCATTTGGCAAAGGGTATCTGAATTTCAAAGATAAAATCATATTTCTAGAAAGTTCATTTTCTGCCCTTTCATATGACACCTCAATCAGGAAAAATTAGCCAGGAATAACAAAGTTCTGTTTGTTTAAAGTATAATGCTGCATTTTCCATAATGTTATTAAATGAATCTGTTCCACTGGCTGTCTGGCCTAACATCGAAGAAGACGAAAGACTTCATGCATGGCTGATCGTCAACAAAACAGAGTTTGTTGTTTGTTGCTACGGCAGGCAGCCAGTGAAAACGAATTCCAAAGCCAAGAAAGAGTTGATCAAATTTCAAATTATTACTGTAATTTAAAATGAAAGGCATCGTTTAACAATGTTAAATCTGAGAAGCATGGCCGTACGTGTTATCAGTGTTTGTGATATGGTGTAATATTGAAGCCCTATATAACAAAATTGCGCTTCAAAATGATCATGAAGTGCCTCAAAAAAGTAAAAGTCTTTGAGTGACCGGTTTTACCATACTCATTTTCCCCAATAGACTGTAGTGTTATAAAAACTGTTAGGAAAACGCAAAATTTGATTTCGATTTCCAATCATAAATATTTTGATAATCAGACAGGCGATCTGCTTGTAAAAGTCATGTGATTCTGACCGACCTTAAAGTTCACATGACCAGTGATGGCCATGTCATTAATCCCATTTTCTTTCCTAATAGAATCTTTCTGTATTTTATTCTTCACAGCAAGCAAGGAAACCATATGATGTTCGTGATGTAATAGAGCAGTACTCAGCGGGCCATTTAAACATGATGGTCCGTATTAAAGAGCTTCAAAGAAGAATTGATACTACGCTAGGAAAACCTGCATCTATGCATTTAGGTAAGAAAATAAACTAAGGTGTATTTTACATATTTATAAATATATCCATTTATGCCTTCATCCCAAGATGCTACATATACATGTACATGTAGCTTCTCATATATTCATAGTTTTCCGAATTTTCTTTCTTATTTCTTACAAATGAAGTTTAATAGTCCTCTTTTAATTGTTTACTTCAAAATTTATATTTGTGTATTGTTTTTATTGAAAAAAAAGTTGCTTGATCAGTACCATATGTACATTGATAAAGAAAGAGGTATCACAAATTTATTTTTAAATGGTGTGAATTTCTCTGCACATTATGCAAATGTATGATGCACATTAGAAAGCAAAACACATTGTAATTGTATGGAGTATTGTCTGTCGACTACAGTATACCGTGTGAGTCAAAAAAAAGTTTACACCTAGAAAATTGCTATTTAAAAAAAAAATCATCTATGAACAGTAAATTGTTATACATCTCATGAATGAGTGTGTTATCCCAAATCATTTGGTACCATTTTTGTGTGGTATGTGTTCACGCTTGGATGAACAGGTGGCATTGTTTGCGAGAGTGCAAAAATCGACTTGCGCCAAAGTGATGCCTTCAGTATATATTATTATGTTGGGATTAGCGGAGTGAGAGAATGGATTGAATGTATCAAATGAAATGCATTGCATATGTTTTTTGCGAAGAGCAAAGTCACACACACCCACAAACACGCGCACAAATGTTTGTTGATATTTGATATTCGATATTTGATACGTGTGGCATGATTAATTTTGTTAGGGGTGTTATTTGGATCTGCAAAGACCGAATTAATACCCAAATCCCAATTGTTTTATTCAAACATCACATAGGCAACTTTGGCGCAATTCGATTTTTGCACTCTCGCAAACAATGTCTCCTGTTCATCCAAGCGTGAACACATACCACACAAAAATGGTACCAAATGATTTGGGATAAAACGCTCTTTCATAAGACATTATAACAGTTTAATGTTTATCAATGATTTTTTTAATAATTACGGTAGCAATTTTCCAGGTGTAAACTTTTTTTTGACTCGCACTGTAGAGCAAGTAGATCATTATTCAAATAAAGATTGTTTCTATATGTTTTTCTATAATACTGTTGACATTTGTCACCATATCAAGTCTGGTTTATTCTATTTTCCAATTTTAGAAATCATGTCATGAAATAATGTTCTTAATTGTATTATTCAGGAGACAGGAAGCGGCAAACGGTTGTTGCTAGAGTCGCAGTCGTTGAACAAAATGTGAGTTTTCACTTGGCCCTCTGCTAATGTAATATACTTTCACAAATATTCTTAAGTTTTTGTATTTTATTCTTTTGTCCCTTAATCATGCACAGGTGTTGCTAGAACATTCTGAATGAATGAATTTATTACTATTTCTGACACAACATATAAAAAACATATTAACATGGTAATAAGGAATCTATAATGGTATTGGGAGTATTTCACCACTTCTTAAAATTCACAAAGAGTACGATTTTATATCCGTAGCAACATGAATGAGCCAACTAATATGTAAATACGTGCAAGAAGTGCACATACGCAATGAAAGAAACAAACAATTTAAAAAAAAATACTTTTAGACAATATATACAGATTATATGAAAGCTTCAATATGGCACAGTACTGAAAGCTAGTCAATGAAATGTGAGGAGGTAGACCAAGTTCTGCAAGCAAACTTGCAAGACAAGAATCATCACAAGCAAAAGGGCTATTTAGATTTTGAACAGATAATGGTAAAAATTGTTTGTAAGATTTTCAAAATTATTGTTAAACAAAATGCAACTTACATGCTGAAAAGGGACATTGCTCTTTAGGCTCTACAATTTTAAATGACAGCACAGTAATGAACTCCCCAAAGAGAAATAGTGAGAAATTCCTGTTCAATAAAATGATACCGCTCTCAATTGTTTAAAAGCATCATCTTGATATTGTTGATGATGGGGATGATAAAGGTGATGGTAATGATCGATAGTGACAATAATGATGATATATATAATATATATATATATATATATATATATATATATATATATATATCAAATGTATACGGTGTCATCTTTCTAATAAAGAATCCTGCTTTTCCAACTGAATCAGTATTTAAACATCTCTTGAAAAAGGGAAGTTATCAGGAATCAATTGGAGTATTCTGTGCTTTAAAGTCAAAACAGTTATTTAATAAAACTTCTCTGTCCCTTTGTCATATGTTCTCAGATGCAATTGATGGACCGTAAGCTCGACAAGTGCATGCTACTTCTAAATATTCTGGTGGACCGAACCACACCCCAACCCGTGAGGAGACCAAAGCCTTCCAGCAAAACCACATCCTCATCCTCCTCATCGGAAGATGATGAAGAGGAAGATAGCTCTAGACAGGCTGCCAGTGGAAGTACTGATACGTAAAGGAAAACGCCTTTAGGATCACAAGCAGTGTCAATGCATTGTAGCCAGCCAGCCAGGTGAAGATCAGCTAGGCAACCTGACCAGGAGCAGATATTAGTTTAAATCCATATTAGGCTGCCGGGGGAGATCAGTGATAGGGCTATGCCTCGTATGTTGCCAGTGGAAAGGTGGGAACAAATATAAAGAGCTGTGCCCCATGAGATGCCAGCAGAAGTTCTTATATGAAGATAATCATGCCTTAAGCTCATCATTCAGAAAGAGCAGAGACTTGTAGAAAGCTTCTAACTATGGGCTCTGAGGGGATCATAAGATAGGTAGCCATTCACATCATCTTGTGCCACTAGTGAAAACACAGATAAGCAAAGAATCATGGTATGTGGGCTATCATTTGGGACAGAGATTTCATGAAATCCATGTATTATAGCTGCTCATAAAGTTGAAGATCACATAGGTATCCAGCCACACCTGATTGGGCCATTAATGAAAGCACCAATGTGTCAAGAATTATGCCTATGTAGCCACAGTTACAGATTTCAGCAACCGCAGAGATTTGTAGAAAGGCACTTTTTCTTTGCTGCTGGGAAAAGATCCAACTTGCAGTCAGCCACAATTTCTTGAGCAAAAAGCAGAAGCACAGATATGTACAGAATCCGCTGGAGGCCATAAGTGACTTGCCAGGGATCAAACCCACAACATATGCATCTCCATTCAAGTGTCTAAACCACTTGACTGCAACACCTCTACAAGTCCATTAGAACATTTCAACAAGGAGGAAAGTGAAATCACTGTTAATCAAGTCACAGAGCCACAGCTGTTGCTGTCTTCACCTTTCTGCACGATGACCTGTTTGCCACGTGTGATTTTAAATTTATTTGCACAAATTTTAGTCACCAATTGACAAAAGGGTTGTCTTGTGCTGTTGTGCACCACAATAGCTTTGCAAAATTAGTCATTTTGGGTCTTGTTTTTAGTGCCATAATCGTTTTAATACCGGTATAGATAAATCATGCACTGGGAACATAATTTCAAACCCCTCTGTAGATCCTTGGATATACCACTCTGGCCGGTGTATCTATCTTCACACACTCAGGCAGATTGACTTACTTACTAACTTAGGTGCATAGGCGGTGTGTCCCCTAGCTAGCTCCCCTACGAGAATTCATGCTCCATTCTGATCTGCCCTGGGCTTGTTGCTGTGCCTCTTGTGTTGGCAATGCCACATCGCACCTAACCTGGTTCTTTCATCTCGTTGGAGGGCGTCCCCTAGGTAGGCGTGCATTAAAGTCATTCTGGGCAGATTATTTTTTGGCATAAAAAAATAGCAGTGTTACTGATAATGAGGAGAATTTTTATCTCATTCTCTCTCACTCTCTCTGAGTGACATGAAGTGGTAAATAAATTAAGTTGCAGTGATTTTATAGAATAGTATATGTTATAAGATGATGACGTAGATCCTGATCAAATGATTGGTTGAAAGCGTACACTTGAACAGGCATTTATTATGCCTAACGCGCAATTTGGATAATGACCGGTCATTAGTAAAATTTTATTATAAAACATCATTTCATAAAACGAATAAATTACAATCTTATAAAACAAATAATACACATGATTTGGTTCGGGCATTAGTAAAATTACCCACACTAGGTACCTTAAAAACAGTCCAAACACCGTCGGCTACCGCCTCAGGCGTGTTAGACTCTTCCAAAGTTACCTTGTGTGGGTAATTCTTATTAATGTCCTCACTGCTGTGTATTATTTGTATATTTATCCACTTTCCACAGGGGAGCTGAAGTGCTCCAGGGAACTTTTGTAACACTGCTATCAGAATACATTGATTAGAAGAGGTAAGATGGAGTATCTGTACTGTAGGTCTGTCCTCATGGGCCTGAATTTGCTAAATAACCCGCTTTTTTAACCAGTTAATTTGCGACATCAGCCCACAGTTGAAATTTGCAGTATATTGGTCGAGAAAATATCCTGAGAAATCTTGGTCTCGTTTCCAAAATGTCCCGCTATTTGGGAAATAGCGGGCTAATTTGGTTTAGATATATATACATTGTGAGGGATTTTATAGGCTGAAAAAGGTGCATAATGTTAGAGGCTGCAGGTTATACAATACACCCCGAGGAGGAACATACCTTTCTGTGGACTTTAAACGTGATTGATTAAACATGAATAGGGATATTATTCAAAGGGTCATTGTGCAGGCACTTGAGATAAGTTACCATGTCTTTAATGCAGCATAGCTGTTATAGGAGATAAAGAGCTTTTTGTATCTTTATCAAATTTGGAGAACTATAGCAACCATGTTTTTGTTGGGAAGTATTATTACATACATGTACTTGTAGTTATCATGTAATGAACAAAGGAATTGATACATGCACACATACATGTGAATGTAATTGTTCCAGCATTTTCCAAATAGATTCATTCATGTATGACAAACGCACAGCCTACTATTTATATTTATATTTATATACAGTCTTTGTCAAATATGCAAATACATCATATTATATACAAATAGCCATACTGTTTATCACATGATTTTGTTAGCAAGAACAAAGATTTGTAATTTATTAATCTTTATACTATACTGAGTTCTCAGTAACACATACATTTTAGAGTGATTTTGTTTTTATTCACTTATTGAGGAAGGAAATTTTATATCAAGCAGCTTAATTCTGGGAGTAATTTTTATGTATTGTTTTGATATAGGTTCCTTTTTTATTCATAGGATTATAATTGTGCCTATAGTAAAAATCATGTAATAAATTCCCTATAAGGCCCGATCATGAGACCTATTAGGTATCCTCAAGAAGAAAGAAAAAAGTGGTAAAATTGTTGTCAGAAGATTTTCCTCACTCAACACTCAGTTTTTTTTTGTTTTTTTTGGAAGAAAATTACAATGACGTTTTATTGTAAAAAATATTGTTGTCATTCTTTTTTTGAAAATGTATAGTTTTAGTTTTATTTTATTATTTTTAACAGCCCTGGGGTGTTTCACAAAGATCCAATGTCAAACTTAACTCTAAGTTGGACATTATGGAGAGCCATTAGTACCCTGAAGATGAAATACATGTTTGTTCAAAAGCGAAAATTTAAGTATCTTACAGTTTTTTTAAATTTCATATCAAGAACATGAAATCTACTTGATAATAGAAAATATGAATGATTTGAATCAACATTTTATGCCTTTTCAAGAAAATAACTTTTACAAAATATATTTTCATAGACTCTATTACAGCTTTTCATAATTGGTAAGTCTAAATTAGAGATAAGTTCAACTTAGGATCTTTGTGAAACACTTGAGTTACAGTGTTACTTATAAGGTGTGTGTTCTTACTAGTTTCCGCTATACATCATTTTAAAACTGACATAATCATAGTACAATGCTAATGATGCTTGATGGGTAGGGGGCGGAGGGATTATTGTGCATCTTTGTTTATTTCCCAAAAATACTACTTTTTATTCATAAATTGTACTTTTATATATTATTTTAAAGATATTTTTGTATAGAATGTGTGTTGCCTATATTAGAACTTCCAAGAGATGTAACACTTTCATTTATCAAATATATGAAACTTAATGTGAAACTCCTTAGAGGAATTCCATAATTATGGAAATAATTCCACACAGTGGGATCTCTCCATGTTTCCATTACATCTAGCTATACAAGGTCATTTGGTCTATCTGTAATTACTGGCCTAACAGGCTTTTTACAAACTAACGAACACAGATTTTGATAAATGTATGGAAATGACTACATCAAAAATCTGAAAAAGGTATTTAAATCGCAAGACAACTTTGATGTTGTGAATGAAGGAGAAGGAGTCATATCAACTTAATTTTCAATATTGTTTAAGTTCTAGTTATATGAACAAAATGGGAGAAAATTGCTTCCATATTTTGAATTTTTTTAGAGAGAAATGAGGAGCCATACCCATAGCTTCACGAGCTAAATCTTACCTGCAAAAAAACAATTTCCTCTTGTGGAGGAAAATTATTGAATGTGAGAATGTAATATCACTCTGTTTACCAGCAGATAAATATAATTGATTAGTCATTAAGTTTATGATGCTTTACAGTAATACTGAAACAGTAGCGTGACATACATGTATGCTCCTCTGAATATTGCTCTCAAGTCAGTGTTCATACTAGCCTTTTGACAAGGCCTTGTGACTCGGCTATTTTCTACGCAAATCAGCGGCTGAGATGAGTCTAGCCGGCAATGAAGAGAGATCTAGAGACCCGGGGTTTACGCCTGATCGAGTGACGCCACTCGCTCTTGCGTTCACTGTTGTTGTTGTTTTGGTTTATAGGCGTTTATCATTCAGGAGTGAATATTTACGCCTCTTCTCGGGTTTTTGCGATTAGTCTCTTTTTAGTCGCTCGGTGTCAGATACAAATATAATTATCAGACACTAGGCCTTGTCTAAAGGCTAGTGTCATACATGATCAGAATTCCTTACTTCAGTCTTGGATCTAACAGTATAGCCTACCTACCCCGAACACAACCCCAACTTTATACCTTTGATAAAATAAAGCCCAATTAAAGCAATAATTGTCGTTGGTGCAAATGTTGGATCACCATGTAAATAGCCCCCTAATATTTTGTAATGCTTGTGACTGTTCATATTGGTTCAATTTATTATAATTATCACTTAGTAGAAGAGGGAGGAAAAGGAAGTATATCCAAGCCATGATACTATATTTTTCTTTCTGTAAATCACAAATAATTCATCCTCTCTGTCTACTCTACATCACACTGAGGGTCTGTAGTTCAAATATCACTAGCGATATTATTTCCAATATTGTGTTTGTTTCTAATTAAATCAATAACATGAACTTTGTTTGAATTTGTCATGTTTCACAATATTTTACTTTATGTTAAATTTGTGTATATGAGTTTGCTAGATGAATCATTAAGCTTTGATTTGATTTACCATATACATGTACCCACATCAAGCATTGCCAAGATGGTGACTCTATGGTGAATAGACGTTACGAGAAAACCACTGCACTCTGACTTAT